AGTTGTTTGGGAGTAAAAATGGATTCTCTATTTCCCAAAGCCTTGGAATCTGCAGTAGTTCTTGATGTACAGAACATTGCTTGTGGTGGACAACATGCAGCCTTAGTGACCAAACAAGGCGAAATTTTCTCATGGGGGGAGGAATCAAGAGGCAGGCTTGGGCATGGTGTTGAATCTGATATTCTCCACCCAAAGCTTATAGAATCTCTAAGTGATACAAGTATCGAACTTGTTGCTTGTGGGGAGTATCATACATGTGCTGTGACACTTTCTGGTGATCTTTATACGTGGGGTGATGCCACATATAATTATGGTCTTCTGGGGCATGGGAATCAAGTGAGCCACTGGGTCCCGAAAAGAGTAAATGGACCTTTGGAGGGCATACATGTTTCATCTATTTCTTGTGGACCATGGCATACTGCTGTTGTAACCTCTTCTGGGCAATTATTTACTTTCGGTGATGGTACATTTGGTGTTCTGGGTCATGGAGAACGAAAAAATGTATTGTTACCAAGGGAAGTAGAGTCCCTCAAAGGTTTCCGTACTGTACGGGCTGCTTGTGGGGTTTGGCATACTGCTGCAGTTGTTGAAGTCATGGTTGGAAATTCTAGTTCCAGCAACTGCTCTTCAGGGAAGCTTTTTACTTGGGGTGATGGAGACAAGGGTCGACTCGGGCATGGTGATAAGGAAGCAAAACTTGTTCCAACCTGTGTTGCATCCCTCGTTGACCCCAGTTTTTGTCAAGTTGCTTGTGGACATAGTCTGACTGTTGCACTTACGACTTCAGGCCATGTCTATACAATAGGCAGTCCTGTTTATGGCCAGTTGGGAAATCCTCAAGCTGATGGGAAGTTACGAACCCGTATAGAGGGAAAGCTTTCGAAGAGTTTTGTGGAGGAGATAGCTTGTGGTGCCTATCATGTTGCCGTTTTAACATCAAGGAGTGAAGTTTACACTTGGGGGAAGGGTACCAATGGTCGTTTAGGCCATGGGGATACAAATGATAGAAATATCCCAACATTAGTAGAAGCTCTGAAAGACAAACAAGTCAAAAGTATTGCTTGTGGTACTAATCTCACTGCAGCTATCTGTCTGCACCAGTGGGTGTCTGGTGTTGACCAGTCTCTGTGTTCTGGTTGTCGTCTTCCATTTACTTTCAAAAGAAAACGCCACAATTGTTACAATTGCGGACTTGTGTATTGCCACTCATGTAGCAGTAAAAAGTGTGTTAAGGCTTCAATGGCACCGAACCCCAACAAACCCTATCGTGTCTGTGATAATTGTTTTAATAAACTAAGGAAATCTTTAGAAACTGAACCTTCTCGTTCTTCTGTGAGTAGAAGAGGAAGTATCAGTCAGGGGTCACTTGAGTTAATTGATAAGAAGGATGATAAATTGGATTCCAGATATCGTAATCAACCTGCAAGATTTTATTCAATGGAATCCTTTAAACAAGTGGAAAGCAAGTCTTCAAAGAAAAACAAAAAAATGGAATTCAACAGTAGCCGTGTCTCACCTGTTCCAAATGGGGCTTCACAATGGGGAGCACTGAATATTTCTAAATCTTTAAATCCTGTTTTTGGATCATCAAAGAAGTTCTTCTCAGCTTCAGTTCCTGGATCTAGAATTGTTTCCCGGGCAACATCCCCTATATCTAGACGGCCTAGTCCACCTCGTTCAACTACTCCAATTCCAACTCTAGGAGGTCTTACTACACCGAAGATAGTTGTGGATGATGTGAAGAAGATGAGTTATAGCCTTAGTCAGGAGGTTATTAAATTAAAATCACAGGTATCTTGTTTTGTGCATTGGCTGACAGTAATTCCTTTCTCGCTGTTGATGTTTGAATGTAATTTTAATAAAGTGTGCTCAGAAGTAGCACCATGTTTTGTATTTCAACTTTCCCTTTTTCTCTCGCCTTCCCTTCCTCTATTTTTTGAAGCTGTGCCAAGGAAGTTGAACTCATTTTATTTGTAGTAAGCCTGGTTTTTTCTTTCTTTTAGGTGGAAAGCCTGACTCGTAAAGCCCAACATCAAGAAATTGAGTTGGAAAGAACAACTAAACAGCTAAAAGATGCCATAGCAGTTGCCGGGGAGGAAACATCCAAATGTAATGCAGCCAAAGAAGTGATCAAGTCACTTACTGCTCAGGTAGAAACTTTGATATCACAAAAACTACTTTAACAAATAAGACTCCTATTACAGCCTAAAACTTCTACATACTCATGAAACAAAGAAAGGAAAAAGCTAAAGAATTGAACTTCCCTTGCATTATAATGGGTTTATAAATTAGTGGTGGGCATGAATCTTTTCCTTTTCCTTTTGAAACAAATAATCTATTATTGTAAGAAAATCTTAGCATAGAAAAAACAGTAAGTATTTAAGATTCACTGAATTAACTGTACTAAAAATGTAAATCGCAAAGCCATAGATGTTACAATCATGCCAATATCATTCCAAACCAAATTAGTGAACTTTTTTGTTTAATATGTTAATATTAGGCTTATGTCTCAAAGCCTAACTGATTGTATGTTTATTTGTTTCTTGCACTGAACAGTTGAAGGACGTGGCTGAGAGGATACCTGTAGGAGCAGCTAGGAATGTCAAATCACCTTCATTTGGTTCTGAAGTTAGCTATGCTTCCATTGATCAGTTGAGTATTCAAGCAACAAACCCAGAAGTGGACTTAACTGGATTGAATAACCAGTTACTTTCTAATGGATCAAGTACGATCAGTAACCGTAGTGCTGGTCACAATAAACAGAGCCAGTCACATGCAACTAATAGAAATGGGAGCAGAACGAAGGATGGTGATTCCCATTATGAGACAGAATGGGTTGAACAAGATGAACCTGGTGTATATATTACTCTCACCTCCCTACCAGGAGGTGTAATAGAACTTAAGAGAGTTCGTTTCAGGTATGGAATGCACATTGTAAATTGTTTTTTCTTTTTACGAAGCTAATCTGCAAAGGATATGGTATGCATGTTAATAAGGCCTTGAAAGAATTATTCCTAGATCATTGACAACCTTTGGTTCTAATGGCGATTTAGCCTCTTTTTTGCCCTGACGCATTTTGATGCCGTTGGGAGTGCTTGACTTGTAGAGATGAGTTAGTTATATTATCATTCTTTAGTGTAGGAAACAATCCACTGAAATATTTGCTTATGTACCATTAGCAGTTTTTAGTGGACTGTTTTTGTCATGTTTTTTTCTAGATCAATTACATATTTTATATATCTTGTAACTAGAGCTATTTCCTTACCACAATGCTTTATTCTCTATACTTAGGTGTTTGGCAGGAAATAAATAGGCTGTAGCAATTCAAGCAAGTGTACATTATTTCATATGTTAGCAGTTTTATAATGTGAGTTTTAACATTTACATTGGTGAGTGCAGTCGGAAGCGGTTCAGTGAAAAGCAAGCTGAGCAATGGTGGGCTGAGAATCGTGCAAGAGTATATGATCAATATAATGTGCGTATGATTGATAAGTCCACTGTTGGTGTTGGGAGTGAAGACCTGGTTCATTGATGTGACAACTTGTAAATGAGTTGTTTTTCCATATTTTGGCTAGAATTGCAACAATGTCGTGCCGATCAATTACATTTAGCTTCCACCTAATATAAAGCAGCAAGGGAAGGTGGCCATTGCCATAGTTGAGGAGAATAGGGATTGATAATGGTTTTGTAAATTCCTTTTATTTCTTTTTGGTTTCACATTTCCCCCTCTATATGTACCCTGTGTGGGGATTGAGGATGAGAAATGTAAATTCTTAGTAGGATGCAGGTTCTGGTTGAAAGTAGCTGCAGTGTAAATGGTTGATATAGATAGCCTTGGTAAATGCCGTTTTAATCTTTCTTCCCCATGCAATAATACCACATAGCATTACCATTATCACTCCTAACTAGCTATGTGAGAAAAATTAGTGCTATATTATGTGATATTCATCCATTATACTACTTTATTTTGAAGTGTTTTAACAGTTTCTCAACAAGTACATAAATTTATGTTGTGGGGGGCTATTCCTTTGACTATGCTCTATCTTTTTTCTGGAATGTGTCTAGTTGCAAAGCATTTGTTAGTTGCTGGTTATATTTGGTTACTCAAACATAATAAAAGTATAAATCTATATTAGTTCATTATCGATAATATGTAATTTTGGCAACCATGCGTTAGAATTCATTAACGAAAAGTGTATGATTTAACAGTTTCTCAGCAAATGAATATTTTAGTCAATCATATCTAAAGCTTCGCAATTCATTTTAATGGGTAGTGCATTTTATCAGTATAAATCATTTATCCTTTTGTTCTTACTTTTATTGAAATTATGTGTCAAAACATTCAAATTTTTTATAACCAATGACATAAAAGGATACAGAGGAAATCATGTTCTGTTATTTTGATCACTAGATTCACATGTCTCCAACAGAAAGAAAAATGATTATTAAATGAGTTATGCACATCAAAATATAATGCCTACATCTTATATAGTTATATCATTTGTTCTATATATGCTTATGTTGTACTACTTCGGTAGAGTGGTGTGCTAGTCTGAATTTAGGTTCTACACGTTGACAAAGACTCATATTAAGATGGTCACATTTGTATTAGAGGGTGCTGAATTTATAGTCTGAATTTTTTGAAGTAAAATTGTAAAGAATGAAGAGAGAAGGTTGGCTACCTAGTTATAGAGTCCCACATGTTGAAGTTCACCAATTTAATGAGAAGGTTGGGCTATAAAAATGAAGTTAGTATATAATTGTAACATACTTATCTGGATGGGGTTAATGGCTGATCAAGAAGGCCAATGCTCTAAGGCAGAGGTTCATCTCGGAATTCATTCATATATGCTAGGCGAGTTCTTATTTTAAAAGTAAATTTAACACAATGAGATTTTTCAATAGTGTTACTTTTGCAATTGTGAGGAGGTTTATCAGCGAAGTCTACCACAGATTGTTCTTATTTTAATCTACGAATGAAGTGAGTGTATAGTTGTAACATACTTACTTGGATGAGGTTAATGGCTGATCAAGAAGACTTATGGTCTAAGGTAGTGACCTCCGTTACACTTAAGAGGGATGTTATCCTAAGGTCTACTTAAGTGGCGAAGTCTATGTAATAATTTATGACAGTGGGGCCTATTTTTATGCAGCCCCTATGAAAAAACACCTTTAAGATAATGATGTATAGCTATATATTTAATTTTTTAATAATTACACTAATCATAAACCAATGGAGATGATACCCAATATTTATTACTTAAATTAGAGTATATTTAATTTTATATCATATTAGGAATATTTTTTTTATAAATTGCCGTTAGTTGGTTTTATAAGTTAGATCAGTAATGCACATTGTCTTATATCAATTTTCTTGAAAAAAAATCATGAATTATGACAAGTTCTTGTAGCTATGAAAAAAATTGTATTTACAATTCTTGGATGTTGTATGGAATAGGATTTAATGCTCATGTGTTCTATTATATTATCATTGATTTGGGGAAAACATTTAAACAAAATCACTACTGAATTGATAACCCCAACCTTATATTAGTCCCACACAGAGCAATCTTTGATAAAAATTAATGTATATAAACTTCTGACAAGCATGTTAGTTTGTCGAGCTTGGTAACTCTTGCTTGTGACCCAAGTGGGGACAACAAGGTGATGGAACATGGCTATGGTTTGTCTAGGTCGGGTTGGTGATTGCATCATGCTGGCTTGCCCATTCCAAGTTGAGAGTTGAGTCATGGTGATTGGGTGAAGGCCCAGATGTCATGACTTCTAGACAAGAGGGCAAAGCGTGAGGCTGGCTTCACAGAGCAGCGAACACCTCTGGCTCCTAACAGTGGAAGGATCACAGGTTGCTGCAATACCATCCCACAATGCCTAGTGAGCCAAGCTACTTGGACTATCATTTTTTGTTTTTGTATATTTAGTTTTATGGGGATCCGTTAAAGGTTGTTTATGCAATAATTACACATATATTCTTAGCAACCATCCTTCTCATAAGACACATTTTGGGTAGCTTATTTCTCAGGATTCTAATTATTTAAAAGAATTGGAGGAGATGAAACATGTAACAAAACAAGGCGTCTATTCATTACATCATTTCCAAGCTTTGTTTGATTTTCCAATTTTTCTATAAACTTTTTAGCACTGCACTTTTATCCAAGCTAGAAATGGATTTCACATTCCTGCTGGAAAAGTAGCAGTCTGTCCAGGGTTGCTTTCATATACAAGGTTGCTACAATGCAATCTGACATAGTATCATTGACATTTGTTACAACCATGTAACTTATGTACCCTTTGGTCAATAAAAAATGAATATTAATTTATAGTGGATTATGTTAAATGAATAGTTTATTGAAGTTTTGTTGGCTTAACTCAAGAGGAAGCAATAGATGCATATGAAGAGTAATTCTAGCTTTGTTCTTTAGCCAATATCTTATATAGCTATACCATTTTAACTATTTAATTATAGTTAATATTATTAAGTCTATTTTCTGCAGAAGCACACTTCCATATTGATAACATGTAGGATCATAACTCTCTTCTCATCATTTGTGTTATTATGCTTGAGTAATGTATGGTGTAGGTCATATTGAAGGTTGGTCTTCAATTGTAAACTAAAATAACCTAACTTATGATATCTTAATTTGGATTTTGGAAACTAAGCTTTGAATACTATCCATTGTGAATAGTTACAGCACTAGTTTTAAGAAGTCCCACATTGTTGAGTCCAGCTTTGTAATGAGAAGGTTGGTCTTCAGAATAAGAAGTCCCACATTCATTGGGATTTTAGAAAATGATTATTATAAAGTGTTACCATGAGAATGAATTCTGTCTATCAATTTTACTAGATCTAAACCGTATATGAAGTTTGATTTAGGACAGTTTTAGTTGAGGTATATGAAAATGATTACAAGGACAAATTATTTGAGTCTTCCTTTTTTATATAAACAAAAATTTATTGATTTGGGTAATGACATCATCATCCATTAAGTTTGAGTATACTGAAATTTTAACTTGGTAGAAGAAACTCATTACATGATGCTCATGCTTGCACAATAACTAACCAATCTTTGTGTTATAAAACCAGTCATACAGAGACATGACAGCTTTAGGACTAAAACAAACAAGTGTAAGTATTTAGCATAAGTGTGGGTTTTATTCCCATTTCTTTTTTCAATAATCTTCTACTCTACCCATACAAAACAATATTCCATCATTCATATGAAATAATGTATAGTTATCTTATTCATTTCCTGCCAAACACCCAAGTATAGAGAATAAAGCATTGTTGTAAGGAAATAGGTCTTTAGTTAGAAGATAATGAAGAAATTCTTTTTAACACAGATAGATATCTCAAGATAATATAATAGGAGATAGGAGCACTCATAGATCCTGTTTAACACAAAATTCATGTCTAAGGAATACCTTATTAAACTGAACATAACCCATCAGTTTATGTACTTTTGTCTAATATCTGTGCAGGAGCGGGCCAATCAGAAGAAGCAGCTAATCTGAGAGAAATATCATGAATTTATAATAAAATATCTCTAATATGATATACTCAAATGTAACTAATAGATACTTAAGAAACTACATGTCACATTATTAGTCAGCAAAGCTATTATTTAATCACTCCTGCTAATGAAAAATTAACTAAATAGTATCTAAAATTATAAGTGGATTTGTTGTTAACAATTGCAGTACTCATCATATAACATAAAAACAAGCACTGCCAGATTTTGACACACTGATAAAAAAACTTGGAACTAAGTTAGGAGAGGCCGCGCGAACACAGGCCTCCACTGCCACAAATTATGACATAGGCTCCACCACTTGGGTAGACCTTAGGATAGCAACCCTCCTAAGTGCAATGGAGGTCACTACCCTAGGCCATGGGCCTTCATGATCACCCATTGACCCTGTCCAGGTAAGTATATTGCTACTTCACACTCACTTCATTTTTATACACTAACCTTTTCTCTAAATTTGTGAATTCTGCGATGTGGGACTGTAGGTGCACAACCTTCTCATACAAATTGTTCAGGTGACATTGCTGCATCTTGTTCTAAGAATTGACTGGATCAAAAACAGGTTGAAGAAAAAATTGTTTTATGTTCAAAGCCATTTGGAATTCTTACCAGTTATCAATTTGATGCATTAGGCTCAATTGTGAAATATGAAAATAATGATTCTTTTATTGTTCCTTTCCCTGTATCAGCATTAGATTCTAAAGCATACACTCTTGCTCTTTCATATGCTATTTCTAGCATGAGTCCTCAGGCTGAAATATTACCAAGTAAAGCCATTAAAGATACTAATGCTGCTTTGGTTGCCGACTTTTCTTCTCGAGGACTAAATGCTACTGTCTCTGAAATTATGAAGCCAAACATAAGTGCCCCAGGAGTAGAAATCTTGACTGCCTTTTCACTAATTGCAGCACCCTCACAGGTTCCTGAAGATAAAAGATCTGTCATATATAGCATTCTATCAGGAACTTCAATGGCATGCCATCCATCCTGGGCTACTTTTTTTATCTCTCTAAGGATGACTATGTCAGTTTGCTATGCAACATTGGATATCACACTCCAACAGTTAGAATAATATCCTGAAACAATACAATTTGTCCTCCATCAAATCCTAAAAGATCAATGGTGAAGTTCTTTCATTTATCTCTCTAAGGATGACTATGTCAGTTTGCTATGCAACATTGTCTCAGATTTGTTGTCATTGTTGTTGGTGGAAAATTTCCTTTTCCTCATCACAAGTATGGACAGATGATACATGTAATGTGAGATGTCCAATTGTTATAGATGTCTCCCAGACTTAATAAGATTTCATGTTAATCTTTCACAAAATAATTTAACAAATTTTTATTGAGTAAATTGTTGTATTTCTCAAGTTGAGTAGGGTATAGTGGTATACATTCATTTTCACATTAATTATCTTAATATAGTAGCAATAGTATAATAAATAAATAGATGTTTTTGAGCATAATGCTGAGAGAATGGGAAAATGTTTAGGGGAAACTACAATTTTGAACAGAAATCCATGTACATCTCAATACTTACAAACCATAAATAAAATGAAAAATGAAAACTACACAAAATCACTATGCACATTGTTTTGACAAACTAATCTCTATTCACAATCACTTTCTTGGTTCATTTAAAAACAGACTCACAGGTTGAACTAATCTCAATCCAATGACTACTTACAGCATATTCCCAACTTTGACAAGTGGGCAAATCATTTGTCAGAAATCAAACAACCTTGAACACACACTGTACATTATGCACCATACAAGAGAATCAGTTCCATAACCCAAAAAATCTGTTGACAAATTCCTGAGATGCTCATAATAAAAGAAGGATCACAAGCTTCCTTTCATTCCTATGGTTTCATTAGTATATGCATCTGCATGTTATCATCTGACAAACATCTCTTTCAGAAGGGTCCATCTTCCCTCCATGACTGAATGAAATTAAGAACTTTTTGTCTCAGATAAAACCATCTAATATGATTCTTGTCTTCTTGAGCACATACTCTCAGAAGGGGACCCATTTTCCTCATCATGCTTAAGAAAGAAGTCCTCATTTCCATTATAAAGCCGGACTGATAACGAAGGCGATGAAGGTGCACTACCTGCAACCGTTCCAACATGTGAAATATGAAAGACAATATCAATTATGGTTCCGTACAGTAATTGGCTAGTCAGTAGCAGCAGAAATAGATAGTATGATTAAATACCTCTAAAAGAACAGCTTCTCTCAAATTCCTTGGTCGCATGTAACAATATCGTGCCAGAGAGAACAACAATAAAACCACATATTTCTGACACTATAGTTCCACCACTTTGGCCATCCCAATCCTGTAAGCAAAATTTTGAAATGTCTTTAAGCTCTTGTACAAGTTAGACAACAGAAACATCATACCCATCCTACATTAAATGACATAATAAGTTGACAATACCTTAAACATTATCACACTGGCTAGGATTGTGAGTGTTGTGAACATGACATAGTATATAGGAGACACAACTGCAGTGTTGAAGGTGTCAAGAGCCTGAAACAGAAAAGTGATTCTGGTAAGGCTTAACTAACATTTTCATACTACTGATATGCTAGTATTTCTCAAAAGCATTGAGAACTGCAGATGATATTTTGTTACCTATTTCACAAATAAAGTCGTGATAAAAAGAACTACGATTACTTGTGAGGGAAAGACTTAGTGTATCTCAGGTAAATGCAATAGTTGCAACTCGTCTAACATGTTTACAAGACATCTTCTGCTGATTTTAAGAGAAATTGAGTAACAAACCTTATTAAGATAATTCATTTGCATGATGACACATATAGCCACAACTAACATAAAAAACCATGTCTCTGGGTAGATTAACTGATTTTCCCCTTCAAAAGTTAATTTCAAAGAAGTTCCAAGGGCTTTAACACTCATCACCTGCAAAATTACAGTAATTCATTAACAAATGCATTTTGAGTGAACAAATCTTAGAAATTTAGATCAATTACAACAACAACAACAAGCAAGCAAGCCTTAATCCCACTAGGTGGGGATGGGTAGAAGTTTAGATCAATTATGAAAAGAAAATTGAGCATGAGAGAAGAACAGTTAATTAACATACAGTGAGGGAACCCATTAATGAACAAATGCCAGTATAAACTAGCACATTGGTATGTCCACATCTTGGTGCAAAATGGAAGACCAGAATGAAAACCAAGACTATTATTGAGCCCACATATGCCAGAAATGCTGCATGCAAAGAAAATACCTCATTGTCAAGGAATTGCAATAAAATGCATTTAAAAAAAGGGCAGTGCATTCAAACCTGGTTGAGTAGCCATATCCCATATTTCTAGAACAGATTTAATAGGCTGCTCCTTTGGAGCATGA